GTAACGCTAAATGACGCGCATAGACAAGCGTTGCAATTTGTAAGTTTACCACTTTGTTGTTCATTAACGATAAGTTAGGATTAATCTCAGTCGATGTTGTTTAACTTTAGTCTGTGTATAGTATTCTCGTGGATAAGTTTATATGTGAGGATGTGAATTTGAGCGAATCGACAGGCCTCAGCCTGAAGGGTTCATACTAGCTGTAAATCTTAAGTACCTAAGCGATAATTTCTGTTGCACCTAACTTTATTTCGCGCGCCGTGTTAGTTCTACTTTATCAATTGTACATATAGATAGGGCGAGGTATACAGTTTGCATTCATCTTAAATGGTTAATTGTTGTATCTGAAAATATGGGGCTGGCAAATACCAATGCAATACCGCATTTGCTGTTGATAAAATAAAGTAAATCTTAAAGTGATACCATCTTAGATGTATGGCTATTTATGTGTTACTGTTAAAGAAGTGGTGAGGTCACGAGTCGAGGGCAGGGATTACGGTTGCGGGTCATCTACCTAGCTTTAGTGTGTATGGTATACGAGTACGAAGACGCACAACGAGCCCGGACCCTAAGAGTGGCTCGCGGCTCCGTCCACGCCACGAGTGGAACACGACCCTCGCAACTTGGTCCAGTGACCGTTCTGATAGTTATTATTGTAATAACATAAGTACACCCAGTAATGTTCAGCCACGAAGGCTTATTGTGAGGCTGCTACCATTTTAACTGAACGAGTGTTCGCAATTTTACTTAGCTCTATTTAAACGTCATACGTTTAAGCACTTCACTGCTGACATCACATAATGATAGTAAAAAAATATTTCTAATAGATGCATAAAATGTGAATTTGTCACGGCACGACTAATTTAATTACACATTGCCTTGTAAGGATTTAACATTGATACGTAAATCAATGACAGCGGGTCGTGTCACTAGACACGGCTTTCTTTGCAGTTCAGTTAGAGTGGAGCAACCGGCACTAGCTACCACAGCCACATAATTGTACCGTGTCATTACCTCACATTTGCGTCTTTTATACAATATAATAGTTATTGTTGTCGCTAAATCTTTAAACTTATTTTTATTATCATTATTGTTTAGAGGTGTCATTAAGTTTAAAACACAATGATCTATTTTTAGATGGCAACATAGATGATATGTAAGGCGGTGTGAGATGTCGCCCGAGCATCTTCAATGTATTTATTTTCATGGTGATTAATAAATATTGTGAGACGCACGTACGCGCCGGCGGCGATGGGCGCGCGCTCGCGCCGCCGCCCGTTATTGTAGAAATAAATGATATTTTCGTTTAAATAATTCTAATTTCAATTATTTACTCCCCTTCCATTTACTAATTCCTTTAAAATTTTAAGAGCATGTGTTAGACCTGACTTGTCAAGTCTGTCTCATTGTGGAACAAAGTTTAGTTCATGATCCAATTACGGGATTTATGCTTCAATATTATCACATAAAAGCACGTCTTATATTGGCCTAAGAGGAAGGAAGAGGTACTTACACGTATTAAATGTAACACCCTCTGTTTGGCCAGTTATGTTATGATGACTCCCATGTCATAGGGGATGCGCTTATTACCCTATATTAGGCGCCACTGATAATATTTGAAAAACCGAAAAAAGTAATAATTTGCGAATAACTACAAGTTGAACTATGGGAGTACCTACAGCACAGAAACCAACTTCACATCTATTTTAATGTTTTTTTAAATTCCAATAATACATTGCAATATGTATAAGATCTAATCCTGTGGGCCCAAAAGTATATTATATTAGAGATACCTACCTACACAAATTGCATATCGTAGAGAATTTTTACCATATCTCTTTTTTGGGCCGACGTTTGGCCACTATCTCGCCTAGTGGTAAACGATAATGCGGTCTACGATGGATACATCGAACACAATTACAGACGCCATGCAAGAAGTAAAAATATCTAACTAATATCCTAAAATTGCATTGATAAATAGAACTCTAACCCTTAGACTAGTTGCAGTGGTCATATCGAACCCACTGCAATCAATTGTTGGTGTTGTATTTTAAATAAAAAGTTATAGATTTTATAATTATAATATAAGACTTGTATCATAATATTCTTAAGCTGTTTGTCAGTCGAGTCGAGACTATACTGAACTAAATTTAGCAGAGATCATGGAAGTAGATTATGAGTTGGATTAACACAAAGACTAGGTTTGTAAAGACTTTAGAATAACAACGTTATAATAGGTTCATGTAAAATATTATAGGTCAAATAATTTGCCACAAAAGTGATGAAGACTGCGAACAGTACCTGACATACTTATGTGACAAAAGATAAAGTGGGACTGAAATAGCACTTTAGCTAATTTTCATTCGACGATGGCGAAACGCAGTTTCAGATTTCATCTGGCATGACCTTTTTTGAGAATTGATGTAAATGTGTTAATCATATACATTTTGCAACAAAGCCAACAAAGGAAAAATATAGGTTTGACGTGGCTGCATTATAATGTTATACCTACGATATTGACTCCACAAAAGAAATATGTATAAAAGTTATTTTGCATACTTATCAAAATTCTTAAGAAACAATTTAACATGAATTTGAAAATGAAATAGGAACATAAATAGTGGTAGATATAAATTATTCATATCAGTTTGGTATTTACGGCACAAAGAGCTGTTTGGGCAATCTAAATGTTTTGTAATCATACGAAACTGGGTCATGCCTCATCCTTATCGAATCCAAATGCGCAGCAAGCATTATCAAGCCAATAACAAACGTGGCCCGGTAATTTAATCGATTATCCTTCTTTTTAAACGGTCATTATAAACTAGATCATACGGTAAAACCATTTTAAACGACTTGTGTTATTTTCTTTCGAGCACAGAACTATCACAGGTTTTCCGATCTACAAACAGTCTCATGAGACTTGTTGGTTCGTAATTTGTCTGTATACGTAGGTAAATACTTGAATAGCAATTAACGATCTTTGTTTACTCACTAAGCTATATAAACTGGGAAAGTTGAACATCGACCTCTATTCTGACGACCTACTTAGGTACCAAACTCAGATAAATATCGGAAAATTGACGGGGTGGTGTCAATAAGTCAAAACATTTTTGATAATTTTTCCACAAGGCGTAATAGGTAGGTAGATGTACACAGGGTATTGTCCGTGGCATGTGGAAAATACTTCGAATGGGTCGTCGTTCTCATAAAAAACAGAAATGTTCAGAAGAAACCACTGAAGGGTCCCCGTCCAGCTGCATTTGGATTGCCTGTGGCATTTTGTCGACTTACCACCCTGTAGTTCAGCACTATAGATACACCAAGAAGATTGCATCATTCAGAGAAGACATATCATCACCGCCGATTACGACTTCAAAAATTTAACGAAAAAGAAAGACGAATTATTTGGGAGAGAAAAGACTTATGACGTGATGATAGCACATAAATAAATAGAATCCCGGGAATGTAATGCGCAATTCCCATTCCCGTGGGATTACTGTAATAAAATTTGTATAAATAAGCCTAATGGATTTGTCCCAAAAAAAAATCGATATCTAATGATTCCACGATGTAGGTAAACACAGATTAGGCATGTGGTAAATACGTGGAAGGAGCAAATACAAAACACATCGCCTTTCGTTTATTGAAGGTAAATAGAGATGTAGCCCGTGGTTGTAGATATGAAAGTGAAGAGAAAATCACATTTAATGCAAACACCTCTCATCTTCCACGTGTAAAAGGGGGACTCAAATAATAAGGCTCGATTTAATTACCCATGGTCGGCTCAATTTCAGTCTGAACTCCATGCTTGAATTTGAAAATTAATAATAGTTGCTGGAACCGGGATTAAAACCCAAAGTTTATCTTGATAAAATGAGAATGCAAGTAATAGCCCTAAAATCTAAAACAAAAACGAAAAGTCAAATTGAAGATAAGCGCCATCTATGCTGTATATACCAAATTAAATGAGAACACCACTCAACTCTGGCACGATTTTTTTAATACAGTTTGGCTTTGCTAAGATAATTTAGTTGCTATACGCGTTAATGAATGAAACTACTTATTTGGACCTGTTTCTTTCATACAGTATTTAAAGGTTTTAGCAATAACTTAATACCAAATTGCATTTCTCTTTTCTTTGTAACGGGCATGATAAATAATTGTATTTTTTTTAAGGGGGAAAATCATCGAATGACTGCTCCCGCCTGGGTGAGACGGGAGGGGTTGTCAGACTCTTACTGACTAAAAACCACCCCGTTCCTTCTCCTGCACGTCGAGCCGGAGCCCCGGTAACCCGTTAGGTTCTCCGCGACATAAATAATTGTATAGATATTGATCTAAATAATATTAAGAAAATACTTTTAACTACATGAAATTCAATAACAGCTTGTTTAAAAATGTTCGATTAAAGGCTGATTTTTCAATCAACAGATACCTAAAAAATGTGAATGGTGGTATAAAATTGTAATTTTTCAGTATGGAAGAATAGTCAAATATTCAAAGTTATTCAGTTAAAATTTACTTGGTGTGAGAATAATCGGACCTAAGTTTCTGATAATCTGACAGATAGCAAAAAAAAAAAATTTGTCACTTGAGCTAATAACAACAGCAGCATTAGACATTGTGCAATAGGCTTTAAATATTATATTTTTTTTCTGTTAAGTACTTACTCTAAGAGTGTTCCTTGCATATTTGTCTTAGACATCTTGGTATTACAATATAAACTACAATACATGATTTTTACTAATTAATCTAATTATTACTGCAATATTACCTGCTAAACAACTTTATTGATCTACCATATTTATAACTTGAGTATACTACCAAATAACACCTATTACTAAACATAGGATATATCTAAAATAATACCCAAATGTACATTGAAAAATACATTTATTATATACCAAATGTATAAAATACAATATAATAATAATATATATTTATAATATAACTAAAAAAAACTTGGATTACTGTTCCATAGTTTAGTATCTACCATACTAAGTTTCTTTGTACAATACCTAAGGCTGCATCCGAAGTGAGCCATCAAGACGGATGGTTTCACCGTTGAGCATGGGGTTCTGTATGATGCTTTGGACCATCAATGCAAACTCCTGAGGGTGTCCCAGCCGAGGAGGGAATGGCACGGTGGCTTCAAGACTTTTTATTGCTGGTTCAGGTAGCTGCTCCATCATTGGTGTTCGGAATAAACCTGAAAACAGAAGCATATATGATTATTATATTATATGTATCATAACGTTACGCATTATATGTATTCCCGCATAGGCAGTTGAGGAGCATATTATCTATACTTATAATAAATCTGTAGAGAGGTCAATTCTGTACATAAAATATATTTAAAAAATAACTATCAAGGGGTGGTTAGGGATCGCTACTGATGCCAAAAATGCAATCAGTAAAATTTTTGTCTGTCTGTCTGTCTGTCTGTCTGTATGTTCGTTATGGAAACAAAAACTACTCGATGGATTTTAACGAAATTTGGCACAATTATTCTTCATACTCTTGGGCAGGTTATAGTATAGTTTTCATTACGCAACGATCAATAGGAGCAGAGCAGTGAAGGGAAATATTGGGAAAACGGGAGAAGTTACTCCATTTTTTAAGCTTCCGTCGCGAGTGCAGGCTTATAGGTTAAAGCTGCATAGAAATCATGTATGACGGAAATATTCTTCTTAAAATTATATTAATTCTAAAAATTATATATATAGGTAGATTATGGTCTGAAGTGATACATAGGCATTTTACCCCTGGGATCGCGGGCGAAGCCGCTGGCAGAAGCTAGTACATGATACTTATATTATCAAACGAGTGTGGGTGTACACTTCGCAGCTATGTTATTCATTCTAAAAGGATAGACCTGCCGTCTATAACAATTACCATTATTACCGTAACTGTTTTTAAGTTCTATTACTGAAAATTTTAGGAGGAGCATTAATCGGCAGGCGCGCTTTTGGTTTTACTTCCATAGTGAAATAAATACTGAAACCCTTAATATTTCTATATGCACCTTACCTACATCAACAAAAAAACTGATCCGTGTCATTGTTTTTACAGGAGTAATATGGCATTGAACACTGAATCAATTAATAAGTCAGGGCCGAATTTTTAACGCCAGTTAAAAGTTTATAACATTGAATATTTAACTATTCTTCTATACTAAAAACTGTCAAACGTTAATTTTATTCTATAAGAGAGTTAACTATAGATTGAAAAATCGGCCCTAAGTGTTGATTATAACAAAATAATACAAACCTGGAGCAATGGTGACTACTCTTATGCCCTGCTTTGCAAGGTCTCTGGCTATGGGCAAAGTCATACCCACTACGCCAGCTTTTGATGCAGAGTAGGCCGCTTGACCAATCTATAAAAATCAAAAATTTTGTGTTTTTACTTCATTATTTTTATTCAACTTATTTCTTTTACTAGCTTTTACCCGCGGCTTCGCTCGCGTTACAAAAGAATAAAAAGTAGCCTTTGTGACATATACCAATACATACAGCGCGATCTATACCAATACTTTTGTTTTTCCTCGGGAATATCAATTTTTTCCGGGTTAAAAAGTACCCTATTATTTAATCCGGACTTCTAACTTTACGTCTGCAAAAATTCAAAGCAATCGGTTTTGTAGTTACGGCGTGAAGGTGGAACAAACAAACAAAGTCACTTTCAGATTTATAATATTATATATAGTAAGGATAACCTAACACTCAATCAAAACCTTGTGTGGCAAGGAAATATTGAATGAAACTGTTACATGTGTTTCATTCCAAATAACTTGTTTTTTTATCTTTATGTAAGGCTTTCAGTTTAAAAACATTTTAGAAATGGAGGATTATAATTTGCAACATATCTGAAAAATTACCTGTCCATCGAAAGCAGCAACACTAGCAGTGTTCACAATGACTCCTCGCTGGCCATCAGCATCGGGGGCATTCTTACCAATCAAACCAGCTGACAGCCGGATCACATTAAAAGTTCCAATTAAATTAACCTGTAACATAACAACAATTATTTAGTAAATTGTCTAAATATAATAAATATTATGTATGTTAATTTGCATATTGGAACCATGTACCAAAAATAAAAAAAATGACAGCTGTTTCCTCTCCTGTCTAATGGTATTTAGAATACAAGATATTTTATAACTAATGGGTTCAATAAAGAATCATGAATTACTAATTATAATTAATTTATTTATATTAAATTTTTGTGTATTTTAAGTAAGTTTCTTAATAATGTAAATAAAGTAATAATTATAATTTACTAACTGAAGAAAAAAAAACCATTTATTATGACATGACACACATGCAGACATCACATCTCATTACTCATCACTATGAGAAGTTTATTCTCATTTTGAATATCAGACCAGTTAACAAAATTATAGGTAAGTAATAGTATAACGAATTGTAATATTATTTTTGAGGCCTAATTTATTTTAATAAATTATTATGAAATAGAATGGTACATTCTCAAAATCAGTTAATGAATATAATATAACTAAGTAAAGTGCACACATCAAATTGGGCTTTGACCATTTATATTAGACTAGCTACTTCTGCGCAGTTTCACACGCTGTGCTCAGCTCCTATTGGTCGTAGCGTGATATTTTAGTCTATAGCCATCCTTGATAAATGCGCTATCCAACACAAAAAGATTTATTCAAATCAGACTTGTAGTTACGAAGATTAGCGCGTTCAAACAAACAAACAAAAAAACAAACTCTTCCGCTTTCTATAATAGTATAAGATTGACTAATGTAAAAAAAAAATTATCTGTCAAAAGTAATTGGAATTTTACCCCTTCCAGATGACAGATTTATCGGGTATTTGGTACACACTTTTAATTTTGATGACCATATTCATCCATGACTGATGACCTCCATTACCTCCATTCTGAATATTGGAGGACCGGATTGGTAGAATAGAGCTCATTAAAACTGTTTACCATAAAACATAATTATTTTTTATGTATTACTTACATACTTATTGTGTGCCTTGTCACATAAAATGAACTTAAGACACTGCTATTAGTACATATAAACAATTGGCATAACAACAGTTTATCTTTGTTATCTGTACGCACACCCATGTAAAAAGTATTTTTATTATATCATGTTGTTAAAAACAGAGATAAAACAACTCATTTTACTTTACATAATATTTTTTAAGAAAATACTGTTTTAGTACTTTAAACACTTATTGTTATATTGTATCTATTATGTATTTTGTATAATTTGGAATTATAAGTAGTATTGTGAAGTTTCCGGAAATTACCCTTTCATATTTCTATTATTATTGTTGACACTTATATGTACCGATTGATCTCATTAGCTTCATATAAATGATATTTATTTTCAGTCTAATAATATGTTACAAGATACCCCTTTTTTTTAAGGTGGGAAAATCATTGAATGACCGCTCCCGCCTGGGTGAGGCGGGAGGGTGTGACAGACTCTTACTGACTAAAAACGACCTCGTTCCTTCTCCTGCACGTCGAGCCGGAGCCCTGGTAACCCGTTAGGTGTTCCGCGACACAAGATACCCCTAAGATCGGCAAATGTGTATACTTGTAATTTTAATAGAATTTGCATTATTACACCATTCGTCATTACATTTCTATTATAGTTTTTATTATCCTTTTATCTCTCAGTAAATAAAATAAAATAGACAAATTATATACAATTATACAAACCTCAATAGTTTTCTGGAAAGATTTCAAATCAAATGGCTGTTCCTTCTTAAAGTTGTAGATTCTAGACGCTGTGGCTATACCAGCACAGTTCACAACAACATCCAAGCGACCAAACTTGTCTACGGTGGTTTGTAATGCATTCTTGACATCCTTTTCTGATGTAACCTGATTGGAAAAACGTTTTTAAGATTTACAGTAAAAGATTATTCATTTTATTTCTGAACTTGATACATGTAATACATGTAAATATAACAATCACATATACTAATGTAAGTCACATTGACCTTTGATCTTTGATACCTACATCAACAGGCACAAATGCAACATTTTCTTTAAGCTGCTTCGCTGTCTCTTGTCCAGGACTTGAAGGCAGGTCGCAAATGACTACTCTACCACCTTGCTTCAGCAGCTGCTCGACGGTGGCGCGACCAAGACCGGACGCACCTCCAGTCACTAATCCAACTAGACCCTAGAAAACATAATAACCATTTAAGTACATGGTACAAAGGTTAGGTCAATATTAAAAACTGGAAAAACTTCTTCTAAAACTATACAGTACTTATACAACTCGTAGAACTAATAACAAATCACAGTATTAAGTCATAGCCTCATAACTATCTTGTACTGCATGGAATCTTTCTTAAAAAAATAAACGACTCGCGGCATTGATCTATCACACGATTTTGAATAAGATATTAGGTGAAATATTAATAATAATATTTACAACTCTTTTCTATAGTATTTTATTTGAAATCTATGAACTACTTTTTATTTCAATAAACTTACTTTAAACATTTTTAAATTGAAAAGTTGTGTTCTAGGTTATATTCTTATCAGTCTACTGTGAAGTCTATCAACCACTGCTATCACTAACCACCACCAACACTCGATTTAAATGAGATTATTCAAAATCATACTACAGTCACTTGTTTATGTAATCGGTGTTAATTTACAATTCGATTGATTATTAAGCTGATAGGTACTTACGAACTTTAACGTCTATGGACAAACAAAATATTCTTAAGTCAAGATGTAACGCATTCCGTTTTGAATGAACAAAGCCAAGGACAAAAGTTATAAAAAAGGTTTACAATGAAAATGTAGGAAAAATAAGGAACTTATCACGAAAAAATATTTGTTTGAAGGTACGTGAACTAGGTAGGTACGTGTTTTCATATTTTTATTATTTATAGCAGACGTTTTGAAGTACCTACTTCATTGTATCTATCTATTGTACGAGTCTACGAGTCTGAATCATTAGTTTTATTGTGGAATTAAACTATAACATGAATATATTTAAAATAGATAGAAAATAAAATAATAATCAGTGATATAAATGATTATTTTAACAGATAATCATAGTGTAAGAGGTATATAATATTAAGATTAACAACAAACGACAGAGACGAAACAAACAATCTAGCTAGCAATCCTAGCAATGTTGTTTCCTAACATTACGGAAGTTCTGAAAACAGTAAAATTATTTAAATAAAAATTATTTATCTATTGTTCTTGATTGTGTAGCTATACTGACAATAATATTTATACTTTGATTTATAAGATTGTATTAATTTATTTTAGTATAATTTATTTTAGTACAAGGGTATTTTTTACAAATTTTTAGTTTGTGTGCTAAATTAGATGCTTGGCTGGTTATTGTTCTGCATACTTGATTATTGATACAGTAATAGGAATTCCACGCCCTAAAAGTTTTTAAAATTATAAAATAAAATGTGAACATTAAAAATCTCATTACGTGTAATGGAGTAATGAAAAGAGTTACGTTTAGTTTTTCCTTCCACATTTGGATTTGTTTCGTTGACTTGTGGTAGATAAGGATTGAAAAGAGAGAGAGAGAGAGAGTAAAAACTGTACGAGTAGGAATCTCTGTTAGTAGTAGTTTCGTTTCGTAATTTTCCTGTTGTAATTGAAAAAGAGGGCGTATTTCTCTAATTGAAATTAGACAACCCCTATAATTACACAAATCTAATGTTATGTACCTACGGTTGAATTTATTTCGCTGCTTAATTAGTGTTATTTTCTCCTTGTGAATTGTGTTAGTCTCCAGCCGATAACTTGGGTCTTTGGTAGCAATTATGACATGACAGCACGTCAAATCATCAAGCGTCCAAGAATTTTCAATTGAAATGGGCGTGATGATTTCAAAAGTAGTTTATGTTTCCAGGACTGCCCTGTAAACGGGTCAGTCTTACTTATAAGTGAGCAAAGTATTTTGTAGGTCGGTCCGGTGAAAAGATCGTACGTCGTGTAGGTGTTTCGGTATGTGGTACGACCAGGCTGTGTTATGAATGAGGAGGCACTGTTGGCACGGGCTTCCGAGGAGCGGGAGCGTATCTTCCAGCGATACGAGAGGGGTCGAGAGAACCTCATCGGACAAATAGACCCCTGGGAGGATCCAGAGTTCGAGGATTATCACAAAACCGATCGGTATGCTTTTATTTTATGATGTCTCGCGAATTTGCATATTGTTTGATGACTTAATGTTTACCCAATCACTTATTAAATGGCCTTTGCATGGCAGTAGAGCTTTATTTTATTGAATTCTAATTAGCCAGATGCAATCTCATTAAGTTTATTCTTTGTTGAGCTATGCTTTCATATTTCTTAGTTTTATGGTGAATTGTTTGAAACAGTTCATGTATAGTTCTATATTTCTTTTTTATATTGAAGATTATAAAACTAAACCATAGATTGTGTGAGTGCAAGTTAATTTGTTAGAATCACATAAATATTATTATTTATGTCCTTGTACTATAATTAGTAGTGGAACATATGTCAAGCTACTGGATGTATATATGTGGATTGCATGACACAAATAACATTATAAATCAAAATATAATAAGGGTTGTATATATAAAATTCTCTATGCTGAATTTTGCCAGATGGCCAGACTTAACTTGAATTAGTGATTATGGCAAAATGATCTAACATTAATTCAATAGAATAACTAATATCTATGCAATTTAGGTTGAGTTTTAATGATATTGCTTTCAGTTCAGATCTTCTTGGCAATTTCTATAAAATTGTGTATGGTTATAATGCTTTACATTTATTATTAGTATTCTTGTCAAAAAGGGATTAAAAATTAAATCAAATGCCTTCCATCACATGACATATTCAAATATTATAATTGTGTTTGTTTATCATATAAATCTTAGATCAAATAACTTATAATATGAAATATGGTCCCGATTGTCATCATCAGTTTTGGGTTCAATTCCCAACTACAAATTGTAGTTAATTAGGTTTTACTATTTCTATTGTATTTCCACGTAATGTAGTGTTATTAATATTTTACTGATCTACCAGAACGCAAACTTAAATCATGAGGTTTAAGTTTTAACCTTCTTGTTGACTTGTGGTTGGTATTCATATACATATTGGCAATAGCTGGCGAACCAATATTTGGCAAGATACTCATGAACAATAACTGTCAGAATTGTCATCACATATGAGGAAAAATAACTATGCATCATTATATGATTTTATTCCTTGAATGGATCACAATTATACCTGATTATGCTGTTGCTTTCTTCCCTCCCTATTAATAAATTTGTCAATATTTTCCTCATAAAGGTGAACACACACTTATCTGTGCCAATAGAGTGAATCAAATTCTCATAAAAACCTAACACACTTCGGATTCATACGATTTGGCTCAGATAAGCGTGTGTTCACCTTAAATTTTATAATGGCTGTGCTTGTGATTTATAAATAAACTTTTACTTTTTTGAATCTCAACTGTTTAATCTTGAGTGGACTGACAATTAATTTTTCAAATTATCAGAACACCAAGTTTCAAATTGTGTTTTAACATTATACTGTAGTATACAGTACTATACAGAATACATGTTATTATAAGAGCCATTTTTCAATACGAGTAACTAAAATATCCCTATTTCTTGGAAAGCTTACCAATAAATATAAATTTTATAAATACTAAACTTTGTGACAAAAATTTACGCAATATCAGCGTAAATAATGAAAAGTGCTTCAATAAAAATTCAAATCTTTTAAAAAAACTGATTTATTTATGTTTAACATAATAAGTTGCAAGTGACTTGATTTTTAATTATAATTTTTCTCCGATAGTGTTGAAAGTACTTTTTAATAATTCTAGCTCATTGTGATTCTTTACAATGAGGAATATGATCTGACAAAAATCTGTGTTTATTATGACTGCGAACATATTTATAAAGCTATGGAAATCTTGCTCTGCAAAATTATGTTGAAATAAATAGCACAGCAAATCTTTTTATTTACTTTTGCTTAAGCAGTAATTTTATATAACATTGTTATCTCATACCTACTATGGACTTAGTTTCTGATATTTGTCATTAACATACAAGGATGCTCTTACTTACAGATATGGATTCATACACGATGAGCGCTTACCTCAGAAAACAGGGCCCCAAAAGGTCAACATTGAAGTGGAGAGGGAGAAAAAATGGGTCAAAATGCTTACTAATTGGGACTCACCAGCCACCAAAGAAAAACTCCATAGAAGAATATACAAAGGCATTCCAAATTCACTTCGAATAAAAGTGTGGTGCAAGTTGATGGATGTTAACAAAATTAAGTCTGCTAATCCTGGGAAGTTTCAAGAAATGCTAAAACTAGCTAAGCTGTGGTCGACAGATGTAAGACAAATTGATTCAGATGTAAACAGACAGTTCCGGGAACATCAGTTTTACAGAGAACGATATTCAGAAAAACAATGCTCATTATTCAATGTCCTTTGTGCTTATAGCATGTATAACTCGGAAGTAGGTTACTGTCAAGGAATGTCTGGTCTAGCTGGGGTGCTGCTCATGTATATGGATGAAGAAGATGCATTCTGGGCGCTGGCTGTGCTGCTCTCAGATAAGAAGTATGCCATGCATGGATTGTATATAGAAGGATTTCCGAAGTTAACAAGATTTCTGGAACATCATGATAAAATACTCACAAAATTTATGCCAAAATTGAAACATCACTTTGACAAGTTTGGCTTGGATGCCATCCTGTATTCCCTGAAATGGTTTTTTGTGTGCTTCGTGGAGAGAGTGCCATTTAGCTTATGTCTCAGGGTTTGGGATATTTATCTGTTGGATGGAGAGAGAGTGGTCACTGCAATGGCTTACACAATACTCAAGCTTCACAAAAAAGCAATCATGAAGTTAAATGATATGGATCTTATTGTAAATTATATTCAGGTGTGCTGCTTTTCTATGCAAACTAAAACTTATTATTTACAATCTTGTATTAATATCCACGTCGGATATTAATACAAGATTGTATGTTGTAAGTGAATGAGGTATTAAATTTTTAGGTTAAGCTACATAAAGACTTTGGGTTTGAAGATGATATTGTAATCTATCACTTGGAGCGATCAATGGAGGAGTTGAAACGAGCGAAGCTCGACTATCCAGGTCCGCCGCCGCCCAACGAGCTGCCTAAACGACAGCTTGGTTTATTTGTGGAGCCCGACAAAAAATCAAAGATTGGACAACGGGCAGAGAATTTTTCAGAGACTGAGAAACAGGCTAGAGCAACTGTGATATTGAGGTAAGGGAAATTATTGTATTACATAGTACTACTAGAGAAGAGTGCTTACCACCACAGAACTAAGGCGCGAGATACTAGTATATGGAAATGAAGAGTTTTCTTAAGCAATACATTTCATTTCACCACTACTACATACCTACCTACATTAATATACCCCTCCAAAGCTATATTAAAATGTCAAGTTTTGCTACTAGTATTTTCTTAAATGTGTTCTCTATTGTTACAGACGCGAAAAGGCTGCAATAGAATTGCAGGAGCTTCGAGTCTCACAGAGTGACACAGTGTCAGGTAATTTGGAAGCATCTCTACCCACTTCGCGTACCACCTCCGACGAGAGCCTTGGCTCTGACCACTTTACGCATTTATAAAACTTGCTCATTTACATTGGCACACTTTGTTGAAACGCATTCATGAATAATTGAGATCTAAAGATGTTATCTTGTAACTTTACTTTTGGTCACGAAACTGTATGTAACACATGTGCCAATATAAGAGCGGCAAGTGTAAATTAGCATTTTGGGCTAGTTAAATTGATATTCATTGTTTCATTTGCTTTCATCGACAATATTCTTGTATTAGATCATGTTTAGATGTACTCGACGGTAGCTGTATTTTTGGCATGCATCTGGATGCCTGTCGTTAAACACATTTGCATGATATTCACGTTGTATTACTGTTAAATCCATGCATGTTCTTAACTGATTTTGCACAATTCAGATATTTCGTTAACCGTGACTGTCCGATATCTGTATACACGGCAAAATACTTAATAGTTTAAGAAAAAATATTTTTATTTAGTCAAATTTGCCAGTCGGGTAAGATTGCAATGGCATTTTTGTCGGAAAGTCCCAAAATGCCGGCAACGTGGGTGCCGCATCTCATGTCACAAACTGTAGTACTTATAGTTATAGTTACACTGCCGTGGTCGGTTCGATGCCGGCTCTTTGGTGTCTTTCCATAGAAGTCTGGTATCTGTCTTAGACTGTTCGACAAAAGTAAGAAACTAGCAGGTATTTGAAATAGATTTAGGTTAGAGCTACTACTCTTAGATTTTTTCGGTAAATCATGATGTAGTATTTTGACCTAATAAGTACAAATTATTTAAAATATACCCTAATCGTAATCATGAATACACAATGTAGGTAGGTGGTGAAGACTGACAGATACGAGAGTTGTAACTGAATCACCATACTTTGATAAGGACCGCACATTTCGCAAACAAAGTTGTCATGTAAACGGTTCAGTGAAACTTTTTAGTATTATTATAAACTTGTCAACTCATGTTTTAAAATTTCCCTCGAGGTATGCTTTATTCCAAAGTAAAAGAGACCATGTACAAAATGGATCTTTTATGTTTCTCAAGCAAAAATGTTCGATGAATCAGAAATGAAAAGCAATGTGGCGTATCTCCTAGTTTTACTTGTACGTTTGTTAGATTTACTTTTTAATTTATTTCTGAATACGAGTTTAGTTAACTTTATTACAACAAACACAGTTGAAAGGGCAATGGATAAATAATTGCTACATTGTTACCCAAGTGGTTTATTAAATATTGTAATTTTAATTATTGAACTTAGAGTTGTTGAGATTATTATTCAATTAATTAAATTATTAAAAATCAATTAAATATTCAATAATTGTTATCGAAATTATTGGCATGCGTGTTCTGTGAGCTTATGGCATGCTTAGGTCTAACAAGAGACAGACAACCAAGTGTTGAATGTAGCTAATTATATTATTAAGTAATTGAAATATTAATTTCATTGTTGGTTTTTAAATTAGTAACGAAATTATGTATTATTTAGTCCATAGCTCTTTTTGAATAATGTGATAAGTGTTTGTGAAGGCAAGGTACTATAATTATGTTGTCCTGTGGTAGTGTCCTATTCTTTATGTAGCAATTTGTAGTGTAACTCTGATTTGTAATAGTAAGTTGATGCAAGACATTAGCCAAAAAGTTTGACGTATTTGTAGAAGCCACATTATTATAATTTAATTTATTTATTTATACATACTGTAGTTTTCATTTTCGCTTCACCTATCATTGTTTTTAATGCAGTTTCGAATACGTTTAGTTAGCCATGTTGTGAGATCGTTAGATCTTTTGTTTAGCACGAATTATTTCTATATTTTTTAGTTTTTCTGTTATGTCACGTCTTATGAATTCTTATTGCGTCTACTGCTGTCGTGCGTGTGGGACTCGTCATTACTTCACGATGTCCAGTTACAATATCTTTCAGTTCAATGTTTTGCTAAATTTTCCGTCATAATGTTTGGTTCGATGATGCCTACTTGTACAAGTGTCTGCAGACGAGTTTGACGCTGCACTGGCTTGCAGTTTTGTATGTATTTCACTTATACTGATAGACTATTCTATCAACAATAATGGCATTTTAGCTATTACCCATATTTTGTTTTAGATTTAGACGTAATTTGAACTTGTGCACTAGCATGTTAATTGGTGGTATGGAGGTGGGTTTATGTCATGATTAACACGATTAAAACGACATGCATTTAACATGGCATTACTTAAGATTTGAGGAGTGTTCGTCTTCAATCGTTGAACAGAATCCCTTAAAATGAATTATCATTCGCAGCTAACGTTTATTAAAGAATATTTCTATAGAATAAGGCTACTAACTCCTCAGATCTTAAGTCCTATTCCCGGCTTCCTGCATTGTTTGTGCTATTTCTCATAAGATAACGCTACGCCCACTGTGTAAACTGTTTAATACTACTCACAAACTTATTAACATTTATTCTACTACACCACTATTATATGGGCTTGCGTTTCCGCCCAAAACGCACTTGATGCAATAATTTTCGTGTCTTCAATTCTGATTTCTGAATTTCAATACTTCTGCCCTGTTTATGACGTCTGCTTCAAACGAATCTCTGCTCGATAGTGTCCGTATATAATTCTTAGTTAATGTTGATACATAAACCCACCCCTATCATATGATATTTTCATTCGATTACTGGATAACGTAGTAAAACTTATTTAATTGTCTCTTAGTATTAAGTTAAGATCAAGAAACCTCCATAGTACGACCTAAATTTAAACCCATGGGAACAAAAAGTTTAATTAACTAATAAAAGTATTGACAATAACTGCGCATTTTAGTTGAACGATTCGCTATGAACAGACCCAAACGTGGGAGCTCTCTATTCCCTTATTAATGACTGAGTCATAGTTTTCGGGTCAACTTTCCTCTATGGACAAGGTTTTATAAATTTATGATTGGAGTTTAATAATACCTAAATGTAGCCGTACATGAGTGTATTCAATATCCCTAGAAAACATAACTATATAATTTTATTTTTAGTATTGCCGCCCGTGGTGGTATGAGGAACGCCAATAAATTATAAAAACAATCAAAACACATAAAACTGTAATGAATGGTATGTTTTAGTCGTTTAAATTAGACATCACATACAGTGCATTACGTAGACACAGCACACATTATACCTACATATCTTATCAATGTCGCTTTTAGTTGTTTTTCTAATTATCACGTTTAAAATGATTTTTTTCTCAGTACATTGTTATAGTAGATAATAACAGCAAACGCAATACGATCGACGCTAAATGGTGATGTAATTTGTTTAAACGTTAACTTTCGATGATCAATAAATGGTATCATTAGTTAACGTAGCATAATATTTATCCTTTTATAGAGTTTGCAATTCACAGTGAATTAATTAACCACGATTTAGATTTTTTTAGTGGTACGCTGAGTGACGTATTTTACACACTGTCAACGCTTTCTCCCTCGGAGAGAACATCTTTTAAATTTGGCTGCCGCATATCGACACGCTACTACCTTATGTTTTAGCTTTCACCATGTTTTGACCCCTGTAAAATGTAACTAGGCCACAGTGACAATGTTTCTTCGGAATGCCAATAGCCTAGATAGCCTAAATAGCGAAACTTATCTTGTTTCTACAATAAATATTTTGAATTGCCGAGTGCGCCTTCTCCGAGATAGTAGATGTAAGCCCGGGCTTACTTTGTCACTGGCGAGATAACACAATTCAACGTTTTTCTTCAGATAATAAATCTCCAATCGGCGTCCCACTTCGTACGTCCCATGCTTCAATGGACATTCACCTAGATTCCCCTGTCCTCACTTCGGTACATGTGCAACAAAATCAGTCTTTCAAGTACAGCTACCTTCTAAAGAGTGAGAGATATAAGAAAATGCGAAGACGAAGACTTTGATTATTGTTGTTCCTTCCTTTTCCCTATTTTGATGTAAATATGTACGTATGTATTGAATAAATAAGAAACATTCGTGTTGTACCTACTTCTTATTTAATTTCACTGAGCTATACGAGCAGAGATTTTTTGATTCTCGAAAATATTGCATGTGCGTTTTGTGTTCCTACATACGTTGAATTTGCTTGACGTTGTTCCATAAGTAAGGTAAGAATTGTACAATATATTTTGCATGGAAGTGTTGCTTTTTGTTTTGTGTGCTATGCATATAAAGCTAGTGTGGCTAATGAAAGACTTGGCAGACAGACAGTCATATTACGCGTGGGAATACACGATCGACGGTGATCGAACAGCTTAGCAGACAAAGGGGAAGAAAAACAGAGTATTTCGCAAAAAGCGGTGTATGACTGTGTTACACATTGGTTGATATAATGTTATTGTACAGTGGGTGTGTTGTTGTACAGAGCACAGCGGCGTGGCGGGTGGGATCCGCTGCGATGACTCGGTGTCGGCGCTGGGGTCGCGACGCTCGCTCGCCGACACGAGCGTGACGAGCACGGCCGACCTGAGCGTGTTCTCGAGCGGCCGCTCGCACGCCATGGACAACTCGCTGGACACACATTCCAACGTCAGCGATGATGCCACTGGGTCAGATGGGTGAGATGTTTTGTAGATGTAGAATGCACTCATTCCACTGTTTGTTTAAGCCTCCTGTATGTGCAATTTCTTTGGTTCTCTCCTCACTACCCTATCCAAAAATGTTTCGGTGGTTTTGCCTGATAGACTTATAGCACCTATGCAATTCAGCAATTTCAATGTTTTGAGCAAAATGATTGATGAGTAACCGTTTTAATAATCTTCAAATCTCAACAGATATATTGCTCATTGGCTGCAGTCACAGACAGTGACTTCGGGAACTAAACAAATGTTATGTAACTTTTATTTTATTCTACTATGTCTATGTTAATCTGCATATTTAGGCATATTAGTAAAAGTGCTTGCTTAGGTCATTCATATATTCAAGAGCAAATCATTAAATGGCAAATTGATGATCATAATTTATAAGCTTGGTTTGTGGTCTGTTGCAGCTGAAATATGTACCAAGTTGTCATATGATCGTATGAGTTTTAAAGCTAAAGATCGTTTTACGGTCTCCTATATTTCTGCTTAGTTCGACTACAGCGCTAGCAGAACATTTAGTTCTAAATATTTTACAATGCATATATTATCTTACATTGATATAGGCTATGCTATAAGTTTTCACTTAGTTTGCACATATGTGGTCTATAAGTAAATAGGTTTTTTAGTAAATAATTAACAGCAATAGGGATGATGACAACTTATTAAACATCTATTTAGTCCGTCAGTTAGGTAATGACAAAATATTAGATATGTATTTTTTATTTAGTATAAGAATACAATACTTAGATAAAACTAGTCAAAGTTTAGAAGTGGAAGTTACCTACGTCATTTCTAAGTATAAACGTACCTAGAAGTGATGTCAGGTAATGAAATTACCGTATGTATTGGTTTCCGTAAGAAAATAAAAATATATGTGTTTAATGTTTTAAAGTAATGAACCAGACGGACACTAAATTAAAAATGAGTCATCTACCCTATTGTGTTAGTAGTTTCCATACTTATATAGGATTGTAAATATAATATTTCAGTTCGGGCATTTGCGGGTTGAGCATACAGCGGGCTCCGTCGACGGCGCACTCGACTCCGCGCGCGACGCCGCACCCACCGTCCGTGTCGCCGATGTCAGACGACGTGGTGCGCATCCACGTGACCTACAACCCTCGCGCCGGAAGCCCGCACCTGCACCCCATCAGCCCATCCAAGTACAAAGCCTATAACAACGAGGAACACCACAAACCTGTCTCTCTCGGCTTCTACACCAGCAACGGCTCCACTAACCTACCCTCAGACAATAGAATTCGTATTCAAGTGCCATCCGAATCTGAAGAACTCCTCACGCCGGTTGTTGATGCAGGGAATAATATCACACCTCGCTTCATTGAATCTCATGCCGAAATGTACGGATCTTAAATTGAATTTCAATTACTTATTTTACTTCTATTTTTCATATAATGGCCAGTTATGTTTAACATTACAAACTGTGACTGTATTTATATTTTAATCGTCACTCGGAGTCAGTAATTCTCGCTATTATTTAACACAAACTTTTGTACAAAGTAGGATTCCGCGTTAAGGATTATGTTTATTTAAATATTATTAAAAGACAGAAGCAATAACATATTTGCTAGTGTATTATCTTGCTTGAGTACTGCAGTATCTTCGCATTTTAATTTGAATATAACTGATAGTGTAGCTTACGTCGTCTTAAAGTTTTAGGTTAGGGAAGTTGATAGCAAACTACAATTTATTCAAGCAGATTCCATAAGACAATAATTGGCTCTGTTTCTTGTTAATTATATGATAGTGTAGCCTGAGCCACAAATAGTCCTAAAGAAAGAAAATATATAATTGTTCATATAAGGAGACAAAAGCAATATCAGATGCCTGTATCAAACACTAGGAATATAACCTGACGCACTCAGTATTTAGTCCTAGTATTTTAAATGATTGTGTTCAATGTTGGTTCCCCGTGAATGTTGTACAAATCGCAATAAATCACAGCAATATTAAGCTGTCACGCTTTAGCTTGTAGTTGTTTTCGAGCACATAACAATAAACATTGACAATACATAAAAAACCATAGTTTAGCACGTTATCGCCACAGAAGAATATATATTTTGACAAGCCATATAGATAGTACGTTGTTCATTCATAAAAGTATATACTGCTGCCTTTTATGTACTTAGTAAGCATTTTTATATTGTTCGTATAAGCCTGTTAACAGTTTTCAATAGCCATGTTGTGCAAGTTTATAATAATAATAATACATTATAACAATACACATATAGTATACATAATGTATAATGCCATATAAATGTTATAGGTACAAGTATTTTTGAAAATGAGATCATAGATTGGAGATATTTAGATTGTGTAAGCTATTTTTGGGTGGTTCAAAGTTGGTTGTTAGTGAAAAATACATAGATAGATTCGGCTTAGGTATCTTGAATGTAGTGGTCCCGCTAATTATACTTACTTGTGAATATCCTAAGTGTCGTTTTGTAGACATTGTTCGCTAGATCAGAGATAGTAAATGACACTTGATTTGAAGTATTTCTTATAATTATCATTGCTGAACTCTAATTCAACGTCTTCTAATTTGTAGGTCCCCAAAGGTTTGTAGGACTGGTCTTTAGATGTGAATATTTCGTACTTAGTCTCTTCATACTTTCCTTTTAAACCCCCATAATCTAAAACTTTAGGTGTATTATAGACAAATATAAGAATACGATAGATATAAAATTCCATTCAAATAACTAACCTACAGTGAGAAACGCAATAATGTCAGTTAAATTGTTACTTGGATATTTAATATAAATAAATATGTAGTTGTAAGGTGAATTATGTCCGTGTAATATACAACGTTTTCGGTCAATATACATATATGTGATGTATATTAGGATTAATGTACACGCTTTCGAAATAACACGTTAGGTACATGTTTCAAAATTTACATGTTCTCAATAATTTAGTTTACAATTTTACGATTAATAGTTAGATTAGGTCTGTATTTTATTTTAGTACTTTAAGTTGTCTTTAATGTTCATGTAAGGCTTGCGCAGACTTCAGGTACTTTTACGTCTTTGGTGTATTTTTCCTAAAGCTTAATTGAAATGAAAACTATGCACATGCAATAACAATTTTATAATAAAGATGTGTTCGCGCCAGCCTTGTATACATTATCTTTCTATTTATTCCATACTACTTGAATATTAATATATTTATACGCAATAACTGATATTAAGGATCTTCCATGGACAGTTACTTAGGTATGACATTATGTCAAAGTAGACTCGTTTAGCTATTCTCCTTGGCAGAAAGATCTTAAGACTTTGATATTTTTTGGTTTTCGAATAATAAGTTTGACTAAGACAGTTCTTTATGCTGCCTCGATAAGGTCTTGGGTATCCTGTGATAAAAGATAATTGTCTGGCACTCATTACGTAGTTAGAAAAAATACGATTCTCATGATATTCAACGCAATTGATAATACAGGCGTCCAAATTAAGGATCAACAAATCTTGTGCCATTTTATAAAATTACGATTATTCCTTTTATTAGTCACTTACGTATTTTGTATTTTGTAATTCTTGAATATTTTTTTAATGCTCGGTATTTTAGTATAGATTCGGCATTATTTGCTTAAGATTTATTTTGATAGAAATATTTAAGACAATAGACAGCGAATATAAATTGTTTTACATGCTGCGTTGTACCTACATTCTTGTTGCGTGGTGGGTTCACTTAAATAGTTTTTATTTTTAACGCAAATTACTCATATATCTGTTTATTGCTAAACTTTTTAGAACGTAAATGGTGAAATTCTATGCCTGCAGGAGGTCACTACAAAAACGCATTAATTGCACTTCGTGCTCAGTTCTATTATATTATTTTAATTGTTTTTGGTGCATGGAAATTGGAAACCTCAAATTAGATGTCCGTCCAATTATTTTCTAGACTGAAAGCAATTTATTCGGTACATGAGAACTTGAACATTTTGGTTTATTTGAGAATTAAATGATTTAGCACGTCATTTAGTAAATTCTAATTTATTTCCATAGGTTAACGAGTAGCTGTATTGAGATATAAAGAAAGTCATTATTTTAAATATATTTGATGTGAATATTGTGCAGTTAGAGCGTTAATTATAGCGGTTAGAGTAGATGTTTTATTTGCAAGGGAAATTAAGTAATGAGGTAAATTTTATTAATGTGTATGTGGAATAAATAACGCGTAGTTAGGGTGGATATGGAAACAGCGGTTTGTTACGGAATAATTCGATATAATAGGGTAGATGACTGTTTTTTAGTTTAATGTCCGTCTGGTAGATTATTTAAAAACATTAGACACGTATTTTTTATTTACTTACGTAAACAAATACTTTAGACGATATATTGATTTGAAATATCGCATGACATCAGGTTTGTGACGTTTTATACTAAAAATAACAAAAAGCATTCCTATTCCTAAACTTTGATTCGCTTTATCTAAGTATTGTTTTGTTATACAAAACAATAAAAAGAAATACGTGTCTAATATTTTTTCATTACCCAACTGACGGATTAAGATTTTTAATTTTCATACCCTGTCATCGTCCCTATTATTATAGTATGATATTATTTGTTCATTAATTACGTAGAACTGTAAACAACTGAAGTACTCGCATGTCTACCGAAAATTTTGAAGCTTAAGCTTGCTTCTGGTACATGTCTCGAATCATCATTGTATTAAATAGCTGACACTGCAACACTGGCCATTCCAACGAGTGTCAATAGCTACGCGGGTAGTACAGAATAGTTATACGTTTTGGATAATTACTTACTATATTCCCTTGATCAGTAATTGTTCCATTAACCTTCCCATATAAGTAAACCTAAGGTGCTCAAAACTGCTAATATGATGCAAACAAATAAAATAAAATATTCCAAATGACCTAATAATCCAATAGATTCTTCCTATAGTTAAACATTCAGTTTGAAGAGAAATAAACTTATTTTTTTACCCCTATTGAATGGAAAAGCGATGTTATATATTTACCAAAAAATTCATGAATTCTATATGTTAGCTAGATATTGAATCACCAAAAACATAAATGTTAAAATTAATTGTTTGTGTGTACCTCTATATTCAATTACTACATGTTTAGCTAAGATCGCAATTATAGAATAGCAGTCGTTTAGAACAAAATTATAGTAAAACTCACCCATCGAAATTATCTGTATGTAAGTTGATAAGAAATCAGGAATTGTTTTAAATCTAAGAAATTAATATTAAAATATTTAGTCGGTCAAGTTTCACTATCGTTGGATAAATTAAACTAGTCGTTTATATGAGAAGTTGTTACGTTTGAAATAACTGTTGAATTTAACTGTTTTTCGAAAATGTACGCTATTCTCTTAGTACAAAGGTGCTCTTTTAGAAGTGGACTCGAGTAAAAACAATGGTTATTAATTCTAACGTAGCAACTTCCTAGAAGCTCTGTTCATGTCTTAAGATTATGGAGGATATAATGAACATATATTATTTCTTGGAATACTTATTAAATATTGTGTAGGATTACATAAATGTGCACATTTTATGTCAGTCCAATACTGACTTTATAAGAAGCAGGTAGTAAATGTTTTCATTTGTATTCCATCGCCTTTTGAACTCTAATGTCCTTTGATATGAGCGGAGCTTTATCCGACAGTATCTGTTATTAGAAACACAGTGAGAATAGTGCCTGCACGAATTTCGTTGTTACTCTACATACTTAGTTCATAATAATAAAAAAAATATTCGTAAATTTGTTAACATTTACCTGAATACTGTTTAAAATTAGTTGTTAGACTTAATTATAATTATGGTCAGCATTTGCAATATACTTATAATGTGTAACGTCAAAACTTGTAAAGTATTATTTTCGTATCGTATTTATTTCTTACTGTATTTTTTGCTTTAGTATTTAATGTATTCGATGGAAACACTTGTGTAGAGTCAAATTATTCGTGATTGAAATAGAGGGCCTGTATAATTTTATCTATTTGAGGTGCTGGGAGCTCTCGATCGAAAGTCTACGTTTGGTAGTACCGTGAAAGTTCGAAGCTAGATTAGATTGAATTTGGGACTATGCAATGGTCTATAAAATGAGTATTGTTTATGTATGTGCATTTATTATGTAATTGTTTGGGAATATGACGTCACAGAGTTAATGTACAAGGTGTAGTTTGATAGTGAGGTTGCCACAGCACTAATGGGACAGATTAAGCCCCTTGAATGTTCCTACATGGCATTTTCATGAGTAGAACTGTAACTAACATCTGTTTACTGTATTACCTTAAAAACTGTTTAACAATAGCATTGTACATACTATAAAACAAAACAGAAAGTTATTTAACAACCTAAAACTAATGTTAATATAATGCTAATTGAAAAGTGCTGCGAGGAATTATCACTTGGCTTGATCTGTGAATCTAAAGTTTGACGCGTGTTGTAAAAGTTGCACCTTGAGTAGATGTTCGTGTGTCAGAACTTATGTGACGCAGTACTTATGTCAGAGTCAGAAATTCTCACTCTGTGACACTTTAAGATGCAGTGCATCAGAACTTTTGTGATGCAGTGTTTCAGAAGTTTATCACGCAGTGGGTCAGTACTTCTGTGACACCGTATGTCAGAAGTTTGTCACACGGGTGCGGATGTGGGTACACGAATCCAGTCCGTGTCAGGAAGTGTATGGCGCGCTTAGTAAGCAATGTTCGATATAAGTTTGTGGAACTCGTCTTTCGATAACGTCGGTCGGTGCACTTGTGTTCTAAAGATTTTGTTGATACAGGTTTTTTCTGCTTAATATGATTTCACTTGCTATTTTTTAGATTGTGGTTCGATCTCAAAGAAAAAAAAGATAGTTAAGCGGTCAATACTCTGTAGATACCTAGACTGGATTCAATATGTATTGTATACACATTAATTAAGGAATCGATTTCCGATCTGTGAAGCTTTCAATAATCCTAGAAATAAAAGAAAAAGTTAAGTCATATGAATCTAAAATCTTGAACAGAAAATAGATTTCTGGGGATTTCCCCAGCTATACTTTTATGATCAATTAAATACCAAGTGAAATGATATTAATAATAAATAATTAATGACATTAACATTATGAATCCATTGTTGGATGGATCCAACAATGGATTCATAACAGTTTTGTGTATGTTTTGACAAATAATCTGTATACACAAGGTTACCGCCTCCGAAACTATGTAAGTTATTGTAATATACATAATGTTATTTGTTCTGGACTTCGCGCATGTCCGTCGTTCACAGAAGTTTTAGTTGATCGCTATAAAAGCTGACTTGGAAAACGTCTATAAAATGATTACGTAATTTTATTGTTAAGCTAGCAGTGAGCTCTCTTAAAATATTAGCGAGAATAGACACTGTTCATAATAAATATAATAATTTTCGATATTGTTGTTTTATTTTTACTTAGAACCTAGTTATCTACTCCTGTACTATGTCCCACAGTGCCATGTCCAAATAATAACGCTGTATCTACATTCCATTTACTGAGGGCATCAAAATGAGCCCAAACACGATACCTTTGCTGTTAGCCGGTGAGGAGTTGTGTATCCCGAAGACTCCAGATGATACACCAGTATCCAGTGGTGCAAATGTAGTATGTATGTACAATATTGTAAAACTGTTATCATACTAAATATAACTAAATACAAAGTCAAAAACTTTAATCCCTAAACGTGTGCCACAACAACAACACTTACTTATCACCTGTTATGTTGAGTCTCGAAGTCAGAAAATTGTTGACCTACCTACGAATTTACTTATTGAGGGGCAAGGCAGGGCTAACGTGCGTATGGCTATATAAATATATTTAGGTATTTTGTATATGGAGCTTATTGTAGGTCCATTTACAATACACCCAAACAAATAATATTATTTTCGAAGATCTATCCAGCTTGGGACTGCTTTCTTCCCAGACAGGCCCTCATACATACATGTTTTCTTGTTAGAATTATAGAAGTAATAACAAGATTTTAATCTTGTTGAGGTATAATTGGGCTAAGAAGAAGAGCTTAGAGCTGGCCTTTTTTTGAGGGGCAGAAGTCATGTCTCGTCCGTCCCTCTCTGGGTCCGACGGGAGACGAGACGGTGGCCAGAGACCCTTGTAAACACAGGAGGCCCTTATAGAAATACTTCGCTAACGAGGTCATTCCATTTAGTCTTCAAACGTCGAAGTCGAAGCTGGAAGTTCTCTGAAAATCTTTCTTGATAAATTCTAGATAGGTAAGTATGTACCTACAGAACTCAAACTATATCTACTAAATACTAACACATCAATGAAAACTTTCATAGGTCTGGTAGATATTAAAATGAGAGGTGCACGTCTCGATCGATGGAGAACTGGGAACATGTGATTCAAAGTCAGAAAGAGTCTGACACTCCTTCTCGCCTCATCCAAGGGCGGGAGAAGTCATTGTTGATTTCCGCTTTAAAAAGATAGAAGCCCATTTGCAGGATGGATTTTTAAAATTCTCAACGGACCGATGTAGTCCAGTCCGTAAGTAATCAATAGAACTATCAGTCACATTAATGGTAGGTATCAGGGAAATAATATAAACATACAGAGCTTATAAATGGTTTATTCACGTAATTAATGATTATAATTAAATTACAAAATAATATCATATAACTGATAATATTTCAAATAAATTGTTTTCAATGTTTGGTGCGCTGTGGTTATGAACAAAACAAAATTTAAGTACTACTAAAAATAATTTTCTACATAATTTAAGAACAAATAGGAACTTTATTGGGTTTGTTTGCGAAATTACGCCTATAAATTTTGTCAAAAATGTAGATAATAGTTATACATATTACATTAAAATTGATTTTTAATATATTACTCATTAATATATTATTTAATAAGAGAATTTGATTTATATTAGATAATAATAAAATTTATTTTAAAAATACTTTATCAAATGGTCGTTGTAAACTTCTTAGTGTTGAATTGTAAAGAGTCATAAGACTTAAGAAACCTCTAACTTCGATCGCTGACCTATATGTTTCTAATCTTACTAAGAAAGGCCTCATCCTGATATTTCTCGTCTATGTATCACATGCGACTGCGTGTACTTATTGTTATTTCAGTTCTTCGGTTAAAAAGATTAATCTTTACAACTTACAGTTAAGTGCAGTTTCATGACATCGAAATTCGTATAATGCACTTATAAATACACACAAACTTCTATAAATTAAGTTACAGTTATGTATAAAACATTAAGCTTACAAACACTAAATGCAAAGATCCCAGTCACCAATTTAAGATAAAATGTTCTTTTTAATGGAAACAAATTAGACTAACGAAAGCATATTTGTTCGTTTATACTGAATACGACGTCAAAGTAATGCTATTAAGTACCGATGACGCTATAATTAGATGACAGTTATGTTCGATAGCTTTTTGGTCTTTGTTTATTTTACAAAATACTTATCTATCGTGTACATGGTAGCTCATATTGTTTGGGACCAACAAATCATTGAATACAACATTAACGTGCCTACTCCACACAACCGAAAATACATGTTGACTCAAATATCTACTTACATATTTCTAAGTACCTACACCATCCAACAGTATTCAGTTCTGATTCGGGAATGTAATAGCGGTTTTATAATTTTACATGCCCCAATTATATACTTGTACATATATATTTATAAAATACGCACAATAAAAGGCAACATCAATTTCTCTAGTTACACATCGTAACTATTTCGAATTCATGCAGGACGTAGAGCAAATATTGACTTCATGCAATAAGTAGCACCATACGTTTAGCAGCGTGTGTCGCGGTTACCAATACAACAGAATTCAAGTCCGTTTCACAGGAGACTTTTGGTCGAAATAGTTTTCCAAGTGCCAGGGTGACGAAACAAAATAACATCGACTACGACCTAGACACCTTGACTACTTCGAACTCTCAAAGTGTCACGCGCAAAACTGGTAAAAATAATCTATACTATATACTAAGCTGTACGCTAATATCTATCACACATTAACACAGAATCTTTGAATAGAAGGCTGTGCACTAAAGTGTTGCCTTATATACTATACACACGTATAATTTCTTTGATGGCATCCTTAGTACCGAAAATGAGGGCGAACATACCAAAGATGAGCACAACTATGTTCTTCCAAATGAGATATTTGCCAGGTCCAAAGCCAATGTCCCAGTAGGTGATGACTTCAATGAAAGCGGGAGCAATGAGACCGAGGATAGAGAAGCAGAATGCACCAATGACGCCCATGAACGGTCCGATGGTGGGCACAGCGACAGCTAGTAGTACGCAGGCGGTCACCATGATGGTCCTCATGATGTAGTCAGCAAGGTCGGGTCTCTTCGTGAACTTGTCCTTGATGCTGTTCCACATGATTTCGACGCACACAAAGAACTGCAGTCCGTATGTGCAGTATACGGCGATGGCTATGGAGATCTTGACGATTTGGGCAGGACTGTAAACAACAAGAAAATATTTGAATCAATTTATATTACATACGAATTTCTTAGTGAAATATTTTTATTAAAATTACCCAACAATTTGTTTATCTTAATAAAGTGACCCATTTAAATATTTCATACGTTAAAGGTAGGTACTTAGTAGATATGTTAGGAGCATACTCACATTTCAGCACTTTCCAAATTCAGGGTGATGGAGTCTTTGACGCCCTCTCCATAGCGAAGGTAGCCGAGGAAACCCAGAAGGATGTACACGAGAGTGACACCGCTCATGCCCTTGTTCAGGACGCCACAGGTGCCGAGCATTGAGCGAGGAGTCTTCATGGCATTCTCCAGGGGCATGACAACACCGATAGCTTCCATGGCAAAAATACTCAGCGAAAAGAATTCAGGCCATTCTACCGGTGCTTTGAAGAGCATAGAGTTAATGTTGTCCGTCATAAGTTTGCCAGTTCCGACGAGATAGTAGAAAGTGATTCCAAGACCGAGACCCATGAACACGTTGGCGATCATGGACACTGGCGCTAAGTACTTGAGGTTGCGGATCCATGCCATAAAGATCAGAGGCAGTAGAAGAGCGATGATGAATATTCTTATTTCTACATCTTCCTCTTTTTGGTTCATGTAGTGTGCTACGACCTGAAACAGGACAGAGTCTTTTAGAAGCAGCATATTATGAGTCTTTCATTCAATTAGTAGGGCAAACATCTAAATTTCATACGAATTGAAGTAATATGTGAATTGTAGCTGTAATTTTATCTAGGTAGGTAGGTACTATTATAGAGGTAGTTTACCTGCACGATATTCTTAGCGACGATTACAGTGTACACTGAGCAGGTACCGAAGTAAGTCAGGAAAAGACTGACCAGGATGAAGATTCTGAAAGAAATACATTATATGTTTAGCAACATGTTACATTCAGCTGATAATGTATACCTAAGTACCTGCATTTTTTTCGTAAGAACACATTACTTGATTAGGTCATTTTCAGGTTCGGTTACAATTCATTTAATGTTCTGATGATCCTCGAATGAGAATTTTCGCGCCACTAAGTCGCTAGTAGGGAGAGTCCGGGAGAGTTTATCCGCCTTTGACTAAAATGCTCATAAGTCACTTTATATTTACAAAATATATTTTTTTACAAATTGTACACTAAGCTGCATTATTAAGCTTTATTTTTTACAAAGAAAATTTTATAAATCATTAATATTTTATAAGTAATTAACGATTTTTACCGAAATGAGATTTGGCTAATATCTCCCGCCTGGGTGGGAGACTTGACCCGCAAAGCAGGGAGACTTTACACGGGTTTAAAATAACATTCATTCATTCCTCATTCATTTACATCTTTAGGTTTGTTGATTTGACTTTATAGAATATTTGCTAACATCAAGGTATTCAGGCCCACATTGTGATTGTAAAATCGAAAACCCTGATTGACTAAGGGCGTTCAGACACTCGAGTCATTTTCTAATGGTTAACGTCATTTAGATTAAACCTGTATTTAAGGCATTTTGTATGAAATTTTACCTAAAAACATTTCCCCACGGTCGCAGTGCCTGTGGTCCATTCTCTAAGGCTGCCTGTCCTACTTCAGGGAACGTCATCTGCGTTCTTCTGGTCTTCTTATACAGCACGTGGGCACATTTGATCTGGGAATGAAAAGGACGTTGTTTAAAAATATTTCACGCAACATTTCGCATCGCAAGTATTGTGAGAAACTAATCAAAGTTTCTTAGGAATTTCATTCCTTCTCTAAATTAATATGAGTTGTCTAAGTACACTGATAAAACATGAGCTGGTGCTAATTCGCAAAAGAAATATTTTATAGCGAAATCTCGCAAAGCAGTTTCTGGTCCCTATTGACTTCTGGTACAAAAGTTGCAACGAACTGTCCTTATAACGATTTAATCGCATAGCTTAGGCGTCGAGGTATACTTACGAGAATGTAGGAGCAGTGGGTGCAGATGAGGGCGACCAGCATCGTGAAAAAGATGCCAGAGACGAGCCCAGCGCACTTAAACGCTTTAGGCATGGCCAGGATGCCGGTACCGAGAGACGCCTTCAGCAGATGCGTCAGCGTGTCCATGTTTCTGAAACATTACACAAATCCTCGGTGACTTCGAGTCAATAGTTCCCACACTACATAAACGGGTCTTTATCCCAAATAGTAGAAAATATTGAAAATTATTATAAGGCATCAATGTAGTTTTGCATTCGCAGACAGATCTAATCGAAATCAAACACACATAAGTAAATGTTTTATGTAAACCTTAGATTTGTAATAAGATTTCCAGCTTCACCTTGAATTTTCCAAGGCAATTTTATCCTGAGGTTAATAGAATTCAATAAAAACACGCTATTTCTGTCGCCATTATTCATGTTACATATGTAAGAGACCAATATATCCCCCTTTTGACGCAAATCGATTCTTACATTGGAATTGTTGATTTGAAAGAAGCTGTTTTTAAGTAGGTATGTCTAGGTTACCTGGAATCTTGTTTCTTTTTTATTCAGTAAAATGAATTCGTGTTATAAAAACGTGGTTGAAATAAAACAGTATATTGATGATAAAACAAGGACACAGTTTTTGGAACTTGAATACCTATTTGATCTCGCTTCTATGTACCTACTAGTTATTTAGTAAGTATATACAACCTTAGCATTTACCTTTTCCAGTACTATAGGTACTAAAGTGTGTCCTATCCTTACTACCTATATAATTACGCAAATCATATTAAATTTCAGAAGGTACATTGTGTATTGTATACTATGTAATACAATATATTAGTATAACATCCATTCCGTCTACTAAATATAATAGGAGCCGTATCTAATTATGCAACATCTAGGAAAAATCAGCGGTATTTCTTTATGAGAACGCGATATGGTTTTGGAGACCTGATCTCTCCTTATAAGTCTTGGAATACGAGTGCCTAGGAATGGAGGTTTCTAGACTTACAAACCTTAACACGTTCTAAATTAAATTAGTCATATGTTGGTGTTAATCCCATTGGTTTGCAGAACCTACGTATTAAGTGCCCTCTACGACTTCTAAACTTCTTAAGTTTATTTTAAATGCATGCATATTATAATACGGCGCTATTAAGTATCTACTCGGCGAACCTACATTATATTAATATGATTTTACGGTCAAAATAAAATAAGATTGATGAACGAAACGACAGATCGCAACAAACATGCGGATCAATATTTGTAAACAACGCGAAATAAGACCAAATCATTTCTGGACAAGGTTATTCGAAACTATTATTATCTACACAGTGAACTTGATAACGTGTAAGTTTAGGTACTATAACCCCGTAATTCACGAGTCATTACAGTTGATTGAGTGGGCAATAATATTTTTGTAGATAACACAACCGGTAGTAAATGTCCACATTACCCAATAGTAAAAACAATGAATGCTGAAAGAGACGATAACATAATGTAATAAATGAACCCTGATGTAACGAGATTGAAAATTTCTGATACTATAAGTCACTTATGACTAATGTCAAATTAATATAAATATTAGACTTTTTTTTCTAAAGAAGATTGCCTAAGATGCAGGACGCGTAGGGTAGGTACTGCGATTAACTCTAGTAAAATAATTGCACTTATCAATTAGCACCCCATCGATATACTGCTAGTATTTATTATTATGAATAGTAGACATGATGTTTTCTAGATAATTTAAATTATCTAAAAAAGGTAATAAGCGATTTTAATCTGTCTACTTTTTTCTATAAATTAAAAGAAAAAATTGAACAAGTCAACTACCTAGACACTAGCCAGTTATAATGGTTTGTTATGTTATCTAAATAATGTAGTCAAAGGTACATATTCTATAAATTCCTAAAATGCTAAGTTATTAGCAATTCGCAGAAGCAGTTAAAAATACACTAGTACTAGGTAATTCGCGTGGCAACATTAAAAATCTATTTTATACCAAGCGTAAATTTATTTACTATAATGTATAGTAACTTGTCTACGGACCACAGTTTCTAGGTTTTTAGGTCACTCGGCAGGTATTCTAGTACTTTTTGCACTTTTTTTCTAATATCAACCTAGTGTCGTCCACGTTTTGAGTCACATGTGTGGATGATGATGGAAATATACATTTGAAATTGTTTACATTGTTTACGCATATAAACATAAAGTATCTATTTAACCATCATGTTTTGAGGATGGTCGACATTAAGCTCTAAGGCCTTGTCTAGACATACCTAATGAAGACTAGACATAACTTCTAAATATTGGGTTTATCCCAATTAGTTACTAGTTCATCGAAATATCTGATCTTGTAAAACTGTTTTCAATATAAAATATGATGAAACGAGTAGAATATAATTTCTTAAAGGGAAATCTTGTTAAAACTTTCTGCTCTGTCGAACATTTAAGTCAAATAGTAGCTAAGGCGTGGTAAAAAGTCAATATACTTACGAAGTAGGATTCTCCAACTTTCGTTCGGTGAACGGATCGAAATCGGCCGACTCCACATCTTTCGTCATGTTGTATCTGTGAAAGATAAATAACAATAAGAATTAGTCTCTCTAAAGAATAACTTAATTACTATTTTTAATAGAAAAGCCACATAATTTTAACTATTATCATTAATCGAATCTCGGGTGTGTTAAAAAACATACGTATAAAATTCATATACATAGATACGCAGCAGCCAGTAGAAACAATAGACAAGGAGTTACAGGAGTTGAACCCACTAGCTGTACCAACTACCAACCGTGCAGTCAGATAATTAAGAATGTTAAAGATACTTTAATAACACAACTGAAAAACAAAAAGAAAATCAATAAGGTTTCGTGCGAAGTCAAGTATCGATTGCGAAACAAAGTTTTATAGTAATAATTATTATGAACTGACCCGACTTTGTCATTGCGGGTTTTGCTCAGTCTATAATCTAGCTTCATTAGTACGGGTATTTAGTTTGCTACCTGCCTAGCACTCTTCTCATAGCCTCTATTGTCCCTATATGAATTGTGACAAAATGAAAATATAACTTTCGTAAATATTTTCGATTCGATTTCGATGACTGCCTCATTGACTCAGTGGTCTCAAGTGCGACTGCCGGGCAAGGGTTCGATTCCCGGGTCGGGCAAAGCATTACCTACTGGGTTTGTAAAAACATCAGTAGTCTGGAAATGTGCCCGGTATATGGCAATAGGCTCACCCCCAATTACATGGGACTCATAACATAAATAGTGAAAAGTGGGTGTTACATTGCATTAAGTACCGTAATGTGCACCTCCGCCTACCCCTTCGGAGATAAAAGGCGTGATGTTATGTTATTATTAGGTTTTTCGATGTCGTTTTTACTTGGTCTTTCGACTATTTGAATTGGGGTGAATGAATATTATGATCTTGAAAATATCTGTGTCATTGATGTCGAGTTATATTATGTACAAGTGCTGTAATTTATATGGCTTAAATATTGAATAAAAGGATGCGAATTTTCAATATTGTCGCTAAATATCAGGATAAGACTGTCGCCTATGTTATTCTATGAAAAGTAATCTTTTCAATGGCGTCAGATAATTTTAAATCGATTCAGTACTTTCGCTGCCTATAAGTAGATTTTCAATGCAAACAAACATTTTTTTTAATACTTACTTGTTGACGACTTTCTCCTTTTTCTTCTCATCCGGGGACAGGAATGTCTCCAGTTCCTGCGGCGCAGGCGCATTGCCATTTGATTCCTAGAACAAGATTATTTTTAGATACGACACGTCACGTGCAAAGCGTTCGACATTCATGTCATACGTAATCGACATATGACTGAGTTAATAGATTTATTACTTAAAATAGGAATCTACAAAAATTGGATTTAGTTTTACTGAAACTATTTTATGAGTGCAAGCTTCAGTTGTTGAAAGAGATAAAAGACTTCAAAATGGAAGCATCTTGCGACAATAGGTATGTAGCTGCTTAACTAACCGGTAAAAAACCTAAATCAAAACTCAAAAAATATAAAATTTAATTTCGGGTTAACACAAAAGCAGCCGCATATTAAAAAAGTTATCTAAGTCTCGCATTGTGCCTATAGAAGTACCTGGAGATAACGGATACCTGGTACATCTATCTACATATGTGGGAGATAGCATGTAGATAAGTATGTTTGTATAAAAACATCAGCTATCGAAACTATCAATCAAAAGTTTTGATTACAAAATCGAGAGGTGATCTAATATGAAAAAAAAATATTCATTTTTTTTTCAAATGTAAATTGTTTCCACTTTAAATACACACTCTTCATTAAAAGTATAAAAAAGATGAATGATACTGGAAATAGAACGAAATCTTTTTTATGTTGAATTTTAATTAAGAACAGAAAGTATTGCACCATATTACGACACCCGAACTAAAATAAATGTACGAAAATAACCATTATGTTACACGGGAATGACTAGGCAAGTTACATGGAATGGCATATCATACATTACACGTACAAAATTAAATAAACAAAATAAAAACAATTAGTTATCAACTCGTAACGAGTTCAACTTTTATCTGTGGGTAATGTCTATGGACGTTACAAAAAAAAAAAAAACATTTGAATTAGGAACGTGTTGCAATGTATCCATAATTTTCTCAATGTCAAGTTTGGCGCCTGTTCAGGTGCCAACAGAGCGGTGATATAAGGAAAATCTAACTTAAATAGTATAATAATTTAAACCTTTTCAAGTATGTATTGAATAGAGTTATGAAGTAGCCTTGAGAAAGATTTGTTTAGTTAGTTGATTTAGTGATGCGAACTGACTAAGCATATTATACCTACTAAATGTATGCAGAGTCGTGTGAAATTAACATAATCGTAGTACCTATACAGTATACCTATGCGCCAGGATCTTGTTCTAGCGTCGCGTCGTGTGTAAAAATGTTCACTCGACACCAAATCGGACACCAACTTACGTATGTACTTATCTATTTACAATTACATTATCTAGGTACTACGTATATATATACATTTATAGTGTTCGTAAGCTTCTAGGGAATGGAAAACCATATTTGAGATTACTTACAAAAGAAAATAAGTTGGTCAAAGTGTTATCAAATTCTGTATGATCCGATACTAAAGAATCTATATAGATGTGATGTTTTATAGTTTTTGTATTATGATCCCATCCATGGTACTTATATTGAAAAGAATCAGAGTTATTCTGAGTATAACACGGGATCAATAACAGAAAAGAGACATTCAGTGTTTTATTTTCTTTTTGAGGGGGGAAATCATACAATGAATTCTTCCGTCTTGGATTGGGCGAGAGGGAGTGTCAAACTTTTACTGACTAAAAACCAACCCGTTCCTAGTCGTGCTCTTCGAGCCGGAGCCGCGGTAACCAGTTAGGCCTTCCGCGGCTCCGTATCAGCCCTATTGGGCCCATCTGTGGTGTTCAGTACTATACGTTCACCTTTATTTACCCCTGTGGGGCAAAAATCAAGTGTTTTATATCTAATGTATGAAATAAATATAACGTGTAATACTTACATTCACCATTTTGATGTGTTGCTAGTCTGTGATAGCGATAAGCTCCCTTGTTGATACCTGACAACAAAATAAACAACATTAGCTATACGTAGCTATCACACAGTACACAGCACACAATGCTTAGGTAATTAGGTAATTTATTTATTTACTAAACTCTCGATAAATCTTGATTAATGATTCCTTTGCTTTAGTGTCGTCAACACTTTAAATCAAGATTTTTAATGATGTTTACATAATCATTTGTAAATATTTTAATCGTGTAATTATGTATTATATGTACATATAATTACTGTCTGTATTTATTATCTATTACCCTTATTTTTATTATACGAAAAGAAAGAAGAAATTGCCTAATATTTCAGAAAATGCATGGTAATTCTAGTAAAATTTCTACCGGTAGTATATAGTATATTAATTTAATGTAATGTTATATGATTACTTAACTAAGAATTTACTATATTAATCGTAACTATATTAGATAATTTAAAAGAAATATAGTAAATAAGCAACCCACACGTGTGAAGTGCATGTACCTAATTAATAAAATTAATGGCTGAAAATAAACCAAGAACAAGAATGTAAGTATGATAAATTCATAGAAGTTATATTTTCATTAAAAACCTGTCATTGTTTTGTTCAGGGATTTACGATGCATGACAGATTTGTGTAATTTTTATGACTGTAGTAAATAGATATACATATTTTTTTTAAGGGGGGAAATCATCGAGTTTCTGCTCCCGCCTGGGTGAGGCGGGAGGGAGTGTCAGACTCTGACTAAAAACCACCCCGTTCCTTCTCCAGCACGTCGAGCCGGAGCCCCGGTTACCCGTTAGGTTCTCCGCGACTCCGAATCGGCACTGTTGGGCCCCATCTGTGGTGGTCTGATGGCTCTTTGAGGCGCACGCGGAACGCGACGCGCCGTACGCTCGGGTCTGTTTATGGTCGGACGGGGAGCCACCCATGCCGTCCACAGGCCCGCGAGATATACGTATATTACGTATATTAATGAATATAGTTTAACAGACTTTACATTAGGTAAACAGCTTACTGTGCATTACTCAAAATACACCTTAAATTATAATTCAACAACTTTTCCGCCTATCCAAGCCAAGCCTGGCCGGGCAACGATCAAATCAAACAACTGATGGCAGCATTCAGGAATGAAGTGACACCACAAGAAGAAAAAGTGTTGAATTATATTTCATTACAGTATCCTTAGATTTTTTATCCAAAATAAATCAGTCGACAACATAAAGTACGCAAAAGCAAGTTATTTTAAAGTCTATACTATATGTCCTTACCTATGTATACTTAGCTAATAACCGACTAAATACTTCGTTAAACCCTAATTAAAACGAGCAAGTTAGGACATAATGTACCTACCTACATTTATTTCTTACATAATTCGTGTTGGTAATTTTTTAGTTTCATATTTAGACCGGGAATAACAATTGATGGTCTCTGGCCATCCAGAGCCATGAGAGTTCTTACTATCAATGATTACAAGTATAGAAATTTAAAAAAAGTTCTTTATTTATTTAAAGTACTTTATTTAAATTAACTTCTTTAATATCTATGATTACAACTAACTATAGACGTCAGAATAAAAGCAAAAATAACATTTTTATAATGCAAGAAATCTTATCTATTACCTACCTAAAGTTAAACATGTATTATATATTTCATTATTTTCGGTGTATTTATAAATATTTTTATACGTCAGAATGACCGTCTGTTATGTGTGTATTTGCCGATAAATTGCGTAACTTAGCGGATAAATCTTTGTGAGAATTATCTCGAGTCATGCTCGAAGATCAAGGTTGGCCTCTGCGCGTGGGCAGCTCAAATGTGCTTCACTAGGAACAACTGGCAAAATAATCGGATATAAAGTGGTAGCCACAAATATTTTTTAACAAATTAAAGAAATTGTAACGTGCAATAAAAATCCTATTTATTTAGCAAAATTAGAATTAGTTTTTTATAGACATTGGAAACAAGGTAAACAATTTATTCGCGATAGCCATGTATAAGCCAACAGCTGTGCTATTTTCCTCTTGAGAAAAAGACCTATAAAATAGTCTTATATAAAAATTTTATAGCATTTTATACTACTTTATTGTAGGCCCCCTTATCGTTACATGTTAACACAGTGACATCAATTCTATATCCATTCATTGTTATATTAATTATCTGTATTTTTATTTTAGGCCAAAGCTACTAAATTTGTTTCACAAAATAAACATTTGTTTTTAATTTCCTCGTAGACAATCCATATTCAAATACCATTCTCATGTCATTCGAACATTTTAAATATTTATTTTTATTGTTTTTTTTTTTAAAAATTGGCTTTATTAGTTATTAAAACGGCTCAATACTTATTTAATTTTTTGTATACTCCACGTGGACAACATTTAAAATGCCGTAGGAAAAAAAATAACGCAAAAAATTCAAGTGCTCTAAGATAATAGAGCAAGTTATTGCGAAGCCGAAAATCGAATAAAAATTTTGATAATAGCGGTTAAATATTACAATGATTTACATTAAAAACAAGTTTTATACGTAGACGACATTATAGAACAAAAAATTTAAGATAAAGGAAGTATTTTTTTTAAGATTGATGACTTACTTGAACTCACGGTTTCACGCGCTTAGCTGTACTGCGCAGGCTGTCAATACGTGTTGCCTCGCCAATAGTTCGGTCACGACTGATAACGCAAACAGTCTAGCCTCCATAATATCGACTGATATCAGCAAAAATCTCGTGGCCATCAGTAAACGAATCGCGACACCTCGTGTGCAGTTTAGTGCCGTATGAGCATGTACATAAGGTTGTATGCATAGAATAATTTCTGTGGTTATAAGTCAAGTACAGCGAAGCGCGTACTGTCTTTTGTCTTGTACACTATTCTCTTTATTTTGGGCCAATCTTATTCGTTAACCTAACTTCAAGTTTAAACAATTAAATACTATTAATTTTGTGTTTATTTACTAATTGTTATGAGATAAATATTGTGCTGATAATGTAAGTCATATGTATATGTATAAATGGATTTTAGACATGTCCATTTTGTGTTATTTTTAATTGAACGAAACTTATAGATTTTGCAGGGAACAGGAAAATAGGTAGGTAAAATGAAGCATGGTGGCACAATATTAAATGTATTGCACGTACCTAACCAGTAAACTACCTATCAATTCAGGGAAAAATATATTTGGAATGAATTCCGTTGAGTAGTGTGCACGTGGTCAATTTATTTAATTTGTAGTTTTTTTTTAGAATTCAATACAATCACTCATATCAGTGGCGGTTTTATTTTGCCAACGTTGTGAATCTATTTACTGGTATATATTTCTTTGCGAATCAAGTTGTATTTTATAAACAGACTCAGGTAATAACCTAAACGAGTTAGAATTTAAGATCCCGTGTTTGCAATTTCTAAATCGTTTCCGAAAGATCTTAGTGACCTGTAGTAAAATTGTAAGAAATATAACTGAAATAAATAAATCAGAAGTACAGTGTCATAGTCTTTGTAATAGACATAGTGTAACAATTATTTGTCGATTTTTCAAGGTAGAAAGTTCGCACCAAAACAATCAACGGAATACCTACTTAATATATATAGGTACCTAATTCGTTAAACCGACGTCGACCTCCTACCATGTCTTTCACTTTCATTATAAGTTAGTTATCTTTTCATGTTTTATTAATAAATCTAAAGTAACAGTTCTGATTATTACAGCATTTAATTATTAAATTTACCTTTAGCAATATCAAGTTAGTTATCCATTCACACGATTAGGCACAATTATGTATGAAATACATTTTAAAACCACGTTGTAAGTTAAAACATATGAATAATGTTATGAAAATATTCACTAAGTACAAAGTAACGTACTTGATATACCTTACTTATAAGAATAATTACTACGTTTGATTGTTTAAATAATTACTACATGTAAAACCTGTTACGATCGGTCGTTGGCACTAAATAGGGGCGATGCTTGTTAATTTTACTTATATTTAATTGTTATTTTATCAATTCGTTGTATACCGAACTTAACTAAAATGGCGCGGTTTGAATCATTGTATGTCTATTATTGTCTATGCTCTCAGCTCTCAGACGAATATTTTATAGCCTGCCAGTCGCACAGATGTACATTTTCAATTTAAATTAATGCCAGTGTTCCATCATTAAAAGGCAATATTGCTTTGAGGAGCGGACAGGCTCAAATGTTGTTCAAATAAATAAAAATTTACAGTTTTTTTAGTTTCTTGACTAATAAATAAGACAGTTCTCAAAATGTCTACCTCGACCTTACTCAAATTATTATTATCTTTGGTAATAATATGCTGTTTTCTGTGTCCATTTTACATAATTCGTTGATCAACCAAAATGCGTTGATATAATTTAACATCTTCTGCGCCAAATAGTATTTCTAATTACCTATTAGTATTATTATTTCACGATTTTAAAAATTAATTGGATTAAATCTTTGAAGTAATAATACAATTTTTGTAATTGTGTATCCTTACTTAATTTACGTCGGAATTACAGTTTTTACCAAATAAGGACATTTCAGGATTTGTCGTTGACCGCTGAATGTGCTTTATGAATAAAATAAATAAATAAATATTCATCGTAGATAATTAAAAATTCTTTATGTTGGTCTCAAAATATTAAATAGTTATCAGAAATATAATATCATAGTCTTTGTTTTGTTACATTTTAATAAGAGTTATCTAAAAAGCGATATCTGAATGCAACTTGGCGACAAGCGACAAGGCTAACACGTCAGCACAAACAACCGTAACATACATAATACATACATACTCATACATACAGTGAAGTTGATCGATTATCGCGAATTGCGTGAATTTTCACCTCGATTGAACAGTTGTTTTGTTATTCAAAACACGCTGTTGTCGATCGTCTGCTGCGATTGTGGGCCATTGAATCGAAGCACACGTGCTAAAATACAGTCTCCCCGAATATTACTAAATGGCTAATGAGCCAGACGACAAAGCAGTCTCATCTTTCTCGAAACCTTTCCTGGAA